AATAAATGACATAATAGAACATGAATTTTGGTTATAAAATTCATGTTCTATTATGAATGATTTAGACCATTTGTTTGATTTTTTTATTTTATTACCATAAATAATATAATTGTATATTAATTACGTTTTTTAAAGAAAAAATTGGCTTTTATTTTTAATTTTATTTCAATAAATAATACAATAGAACATTAATTTTGATTTTAAAATATTTGATATTCTATATTTGATTGCAATATTTTTTGTCTAAGTATAAGATTTTAAACTTGAAGGTTGTAAGTATTATACACCTATAAACTTCAAAGAGTCTAGAAGTAATTTACTAACGGATATATAATGAATATTTGATGGCAGGAGTTCTAAGTGTTATGCGCGTACAAATCTCAGAGGATCTATGTATAATATTTTAAATGTCAAAGAGTTTAAGTAATTAAGTAACAAATTTCAAGAAGTGTAGGTGTTATTCTCCCTAATATTTTTGATCTCATTTGTCTTTGTTATTATCTGAACTACACATACCAACTATCTATATCAATATCTATATATATTCTATACTACTTATAAATATCAGCATTTGCGAAAAATTTTGATTTCTTATTTTATCTCTAATTATTATTATAAAGTTAATTATACCCACATATATACTTTCATCTAATTTTTTTTTTACTCTTTTTTGACTTTCAACTTATTTTGGATTCTTTTATAAAAATTTTTAAAATTTTTTGAACTTATTTATTAGTTATATAGTTACATACAATCTTTTACATCTATATGAATAAGTAAAGTCATGCACATGTTAAATTATTCTACACATGTAGTTATCAGATTGAATTTCATAGTCAAATATATATATATATTTTATTTTATTTTAATATGTAATAATATAATAGTTTTATAAATGATTTAATCAATTTATTTAACAAAATAAAAATTAATAATTTTATAATATAATTAGTTGTACAAATGCCTAAAATAAATGACAAATTAAGTACTCAAAGATTAATAAAATAAACTAATAATAATTAAAATATGAATTAATTATTCCAAATCTAATTTATTATTTAATTTAATTATACATACAATTCATATTTTTTATATAAATCATTATTTAAATTTATTTACGTACAACGCATGTCGTGTACTGCTAGTATGTATATGTGTGTGTATATATATATAGTGTGATGATGTGAGTGTTCTTAAATGTTATTTAATTTTTTTTTTGAAAACAAAATTATTGGTGTTTGTATATTTTTTTTATTGAATTTTTTTGGTTTTATTTCTTATGAAGGCCATTGATATATTTTTTATATTGATTTTTTTTTTGATTAAGACTATTGATTTATTGATTTTTTTTTTAAGAAATTGTCAATCTAAAAATAACTTTATGCTTTTTTTTTATTAATTTTTGAATTACTGTTCAAACATATATTTTATTTTGTCCAAACAGATTTTGCTATTTTATGTTCTGTAAAATTATTTTTGGAATCATCTAACTAAATAAGTTCTTCATATTAAAAAAATATCAAAATACACTTTTTTAAAATTCACCTCAAAAACTGTTTTCGAATATTTTTTTTTTAAACTCAAACCAAACAGCCCCAAAAGTTTTCTTATTTTTGTTTTATTGGGCCCTCCTACATCTAAAACTAAACAAATGTTAGAAGCTACGCTTATCAATGAACCGAATTCAAATTGGAGCCATACAATAATTTTTGTCAAAAAGTCATAATAATGATTTCTGAAAAAGTAGATTGAAATATCTAACAATTTTTATTTTTGTAGTCTGTATAATAATTTGTCAAAAAGTCGTACATTTTGATCCGATCAAAAGAGCTCAATTGGAGTTGATTTTTGCCAACATTTTTACATTATTTTCTAATAAATTTCATGAACTAATTACTCAACTTCCTTATATATTTATGTTTACATAGAGTTCGTATATATCATATCACAATCATATTAAATATTAGTATATCCAAAATCAAAGTCTTGATATGAATTATGAAGTGTTCGGATGCACATTTAAATAATTTGTAATAAGATTCATACTATATTAATCAGATTTATATTCAAATTCGTTTTAAACTCCAAACCTGTTTTAAACTCCAAACCTGTAACACCCCGCATTTTCTTTTATATATATGTATATAGATATATAGTAAATAATTGTGGTAAAAAAAAAACAAAAAAATGTGGATATATGTAGTGATGTGTGTTTGAATTTGGTAGATTGAAAAAGTAGAGATTTAAAATGTTAGTGAAAATAATAGTTGAAATTTGATTTTAATAAGTGAAAATATGAAATTTTAGGCCCTAGAACTTGTATTAAATGGGTTTGGTGTAGAAATATGTGTTGGAGAGGTTTGAGATGGATTTGGTTGGCTTAGGAATGGATTGAAAATGGAAAATGGATGAAGATAGACTGTGAACAGTGAACATGAACAGTGCACTGTTGTAACTTCAAACTCGATTTTAGACCTTGATGCATTTAATATCTCTCAAAACTCAAAACATGAAAGTTTTAGAGCTCTTTCGTATCATTCCATAGCTTCTTGAATCATCTCAATCGGAGCTTGGATGAGAGAGTTATGCTCAGATAACGAAACGATGTCAAAATAGTCTAATTAACTTTGTTTGGCATTTAATGTCTCCATTTACATCCTAAATCAAAATATAAGAATAATGAGTACTTTTAGGCTTCAAATCAGTATAAAAGGCTTTAGAAACACCCTTTTATCACCTTTTATTTACAAACATCGCAAAACTTCATTAATAATCGATTCGGATGACTAAAATAGAAATTTTAGTGTTTCGAGTGTACGTTGACTTGAGTTTTGAGATAAATCATAAAAATAAATGTTTTTAGGTTAAAATAACATTAAAAATGAATTCGGAACGTCGAGAAACCTTAGGGTAGTCATATGGATCAAATTGGAAATTCTTAGTGGTAAAATCGTAAATTTGGAGAAACCCAAAACAACTTGTGAACAGTGTTTTTCAGGACTGCTATGTTTTAAACTTATTTTCATCTCATTTGCTCTCATTTTCTTCACTCCCCTCACACCCCCACACTTCTTGAAACCCTAGAAGGCATTAAAGAAGAAGAAAGGAAAGAAAAAACAAGAGATTCGAGGGTGATTCAAAATCAAATATTCTTGTTCTTCACTCCAAAACTAAGGATTCAAGGTAGGGGTTTTATCTCATTCACTTACATTGAGGCTAGGGTATTTATATATGTATGTTTTGGCTATCAATAGTATATATATGCTATGGAATCATCCTCTCTTAGGCTTTTTGCAAGGATTACATGTTTTGAACAAAGTAGGGTTTAATACCCATGAAATCTCCTTTATAGTTTTAAAACCCTAATTTTTGGAGAGTGATGTATTTTCTTCCTAAATACTTTCTTTATTATGGATTTCGAAACCTTAGTGCTTTGTGTTAGGTAAAAAATAATGTTATTGTGATCTCATGTATTTTCTTAGTTGGTTGTGGAATTGTTATATGATATATTTTGGGAATTTTGGATAGATACTTGTAAATTGAGATAAATGTTGGAATTGTATGCTTGGTTGGGTTGTTTGTGATGCACATGAGTGAGAAGTTCCTTGTAAGGATGCTCACCCCTTCCCAAGAGGTTCCCGATAAGGATGCTTGAGAAATAATGTAGTGATTAGTGAGAAGTTTCATGTAAGGATGCTCATCCATTTTTAAGAGGTTCCCGGTAAGGATACTTAAAAATCAAATGTGACCTAAAGGGGGGTGGAGGTTACCACAAAGTATGCCACCTACCGAAAAAATTGTTGGGAATTGGTTATGACAATTAATGATTATTATTTGTATGTGGTGTTCGTTTATTCATTTAAGTAATGTTTTTAAATAAACTTGAGATCTTTTTTAAATGTCACTGCTTTATTTCAAATTATGTATCTAAATTATGTTAAAATTGAGACCGACCGTTTTAAATGCTTTTCTAAACCTTGTATGGGTTTAAGAGAATTTTTCTACAGAGCTTCATGCTCACCCCCTATCGCTATCATTTTTCAGATTACGCGCTTGAGGAGGAGGACGTAAGGGTCGAGGAGCCCGCTACTTATGAGACTCCACTGGATGGGAGTGTGGATCCCAAGGTGGACGCATAGAACAACCTCCTTTCCTTTTGTACTAGACTAGGACATTCTTTTAGAACATTGTGTAGTCTAGCTTCTTTTGTTTATTCCGCTGCGCTTCTTTAATTAATTTTTAAGATGTAATAGCCATGACTTGGGCTTATTCTTTTGGATAATGTTGTAAATATTCGTGGACGACAAATGAAGTCTTGTTTCTTAAGGGATTATATTAGTGCTCTCATGATATGAATGATTTTAGAATGTAATGTCGTCCAAGATGTGTTTTGGGGCGTTACAAAACCATAATTGACATGACTACTCAAAACTTTATATATAATTCCTACTATCGATTTTTGGTCCACTGCATTATATAGTTTTTTTGGCATAGTTTAAGCTAACTAGTGGATGTCTACTTTATGTTATGTGATATGATTATTAGTTGGCTTTTCTTTCAACTAGGGTGGATTTATGTAAAAAAAATTCTTCCATCACCATTTAAATTTTCTACTTTCTCCCCCTTAAATACCGTACATATGTCTTGAATTTCTTTAAATGATAGTGGTGTAAATGTGCGCAGGTTCAAATGGAATTGACTATGGTATAAAAAAAAATTGGTATCGTACCACTTATCATTTTTTTTAGTAATTATACTACATTTCGGGTGGAGTTTATTATTTTTTTGATGGCAGAACCTTTTTTTGAGCTTTTTTTTAAAAAAAATTTTGTTCATCGAATTTGTCCTTATTCCACACTTTTTACCTTACTTTATCACAAGACGTTTAAAAGGCAAATACTTCATGAATATAATGACAATAATGATAGCAATGACATCTATATATATTTTGGTTTATTGCAAAGAGAAGCTTCAAAACACTATAAAAAGAAATGATCGACATGGCAATAGCAGCTGTGGAAACGAAATACTATGCTCAAAGTCTACCTTCCGAAAAGCTTGAATTTCAAGTGTTTTTCAATTATCATATTTTCAATGATTTCAATACCCTCTTTGCCTCCCTCCCTGTCGATAGACAATATTTTGGCGTTGGAGTTCCAGGCTCTTTCTATGATCGATTATTTCCCTCGCTGTCTCTCCATTTTGTGCACTCATCCTATGCACTACACTGACTCTCTAAGGTGCCAAAGAAGTTGCTAGATAAAAACTCCTCAGATGAAGTAATGAAAGCTTGTGCAGCTCAACTTGAAAGAGACATGGAGAATTTTCTGGATGCTATAGCTAAAGAAATTGTTGTTGGTGGAATGATGATACTCATCATGCAAAGTCCCCTGGATAATATTGATCACTCTAAGACCCCAGCTGGTGTGACATTTAAATTTGTTGAAGGTGGCCTTATGGATATGGTGAAAGCGGTGAGTCAATGATCAACTATGCATCTTGGAGCCATAAAATTAAAAAATTGACTAGCTTGATAAAATAAGTCTGAAGACCTTATACTTAGCAAACTCATTAGAGATGGATATTGGTGAAACTGATGAGCCACCATCCATTGTCACTCTCATCAACTCCATGTACCCAAAACATATCAATCAGGCCTATTTTTTCTATACCAATTTGTAACCCTTTACCAAAACTTCCACAACTAATCCACCTACCAAACAATCACTTTCCTAAACCGTATAAAAACACCCATTTAAATAGACAAATCATACATTTCTTGCAAGAATGTCTTGGTTCTAAATCATCCATCGTGAATAACTCGAATCAATTATAACTTCACATGTGAATAGTGTGTTTGATGTTAAAAATAATAACTTTTGAATGGTAAAAAGTTTTTTTTTTAGTACCATAGTGCTATCATTCTATGATTATTTGTTGGATGAATTTGATGATTTGCATATCAATAATGTTGTGCATACAAAAAAATGCATCAAAAATCAAATCGAATGATTTGATTAGATTTTCTCCCCCCCTATATATATATATATTCAAAATTGTGCACTACAACACTCGTGTACATTAATTAGCTAGTTTAAATTTGACTAACAACTTCCACTAAACATTTAGGAGTGGTTTAGTGAATGGGCCTGATATTTTGTAATTCATAAGTTTTTGATTCAATTTCTTTCCACATTTCCTAAGGGTGTGTTTGGATGCTCGGAGTGGATTGGATAAGATTAAAATCCAAACTAATCCAAAAAAACTCACATTCGAATTGGATATGTATCAATGCCAATGTTTGATAAACCAATTTTACATCTCCATAGAACCCACTAACAAAAGGTGATTTAAAAACATTGAACTGATATGTTTTGACTATTACACCCTTTAGCCAATCTAATCATATCTTATGTTTGGATAAAAAATGGGTGAAATTATCTGGAATATTTTTTTTGCCAAAAATTCTTTAATATATTTAGGGATACACTTTACCTCAATTGATCAGTTGATGAGTTCAAATGAGTAGTCGACATAAAAACACAAAACTCCTAATGAACGTTTCCATTCTTTATTGCACGCGTTAGAATTTATGTAGACATGATTTATTATATATTATTCAATTTAATTATAGAATAAGTCATAATTTTGTATATTTTCTTGCCCTATGCTCTTGCATTTTTGACACTTTTTTTTGGTAAGTGCGTTTTGAAAGTTATCTTCTCATTTTTAACTACATTTTGAGTCATGCAATTTTTGCATAGTTTTGTGGCTCAATATGATTTTTTTTTTTTGACATAAGTTGCATGTAACATTTAGGACATGTTGTGGTGGTTGATAAATGATTGTATTAAGACAGAATTATGGTGTAATAGAAGGTTCGATAGTTAGTTTGAATTGTTTTTACTTAAGAATAAACAACGGTGTACCAATTTGTAGCCTAAATTGTGTACTTGAGTTGATATTTTTTTGAATTCTTAATTTTAGGATATATTTTGCAAAAAATAATTTGAAAATAGTTGGCTCCAATTGTTTTACATAATGCCATCAAATTCAAGTTTGAGCTTCCTATATATTTATATATTTTTGCTCCAATTTTTCACATAGTATATTTAGTGCAGAATCAAATTAGTTGGGAGAGAGATTGGAAAGCCTCCCATTTCCAAATACTTTATCATCTTAAAAATTAAGTATTTACAAATAAAATTCTTCTAAGTTGCATGTAGATCACATAGAGCAGGGTCGAGAGTGAGCATAAAAAAAAATTATTTTCAGAGCGAGAATGCCTTGAGATCACTATATTATACGTATACTGACACACATTCTTCCATTGAATTTAATAACAACATTATGTATACAAATAATTTTCATGCACAAATGTATGACAAACTTTTTTTTTTAAAAATATATGTTGATTATAAGGTCTTATAACGAAAATTATAAATTGTAATTATAATTCTAGTTTGTTACGAATGTTTAGGCATGTATTGATACTTTCCAAATAAAATTTTGAATAATAATGAAGAAGTATACAAGAAAATGAGTGCAAATTAGTTTAAATTGTGAACTAAAAAACTGTGAATTTGCGAATTTTGTAAAATGAGAGTGTAAATTCAAAAAGAATTAGCTCCCAAAACACAAATTTGCGCGAATGATAGAGCATGAGGCGGTTATACAAATTGTGTGACTAATGTTGCATACGATGATAGCAAAATACTAATTGAAATATAATTTTAGAATTTAATGTACTATGACTATAATACCGATAGACCCATTGATGATCTAATTATTATTATCATTAAATCCTTAAATTATGTCCCAAAATCAAAACATGAATGTGGGTATTCTTCAAAAGCCTGAAGATGATAAATGAGCAATGCTCGACAAGAGTAGATATGGAAGCAAATTCATATGAAGCCTACACACCGTTGAAGCACCATAGGGAAGATACCAATCCCAACAGGGTTTTTATTGCGAACTGCAAAATGTTAGGAAAATCAAATAACTCAGTGAGACATGTTTTTATGGGAAGGGAATTAATGTACGAACGCTTTTACAAACTTAGGCAATCGCGACATGAGTATAAGTTTGTACTGTGGGTAGTCCTCCGATGGATATTAGAACCAGTGTTTTAAAACCCGGCCCGACCTAGCAGGTTGACCTGGTCCCCTAACCGGATCGGTTTTGTAATTAGATCGTTTGAGCAAAGAATCCGGAATAAAACTGGTGAATCGGTCAAAAAATCGGTAACCCATGAAAACCAGACGGGTTTACAAAACCGGCCGATTTTGTTCCTTTAGTATAAATATGTTTTTTTTTTACGTTTTTGTGTCTTTTTTTTCCCCTTCTGTTTTGCCCTAAATTCGAAATCATTCGTTCAGTGTTTGTTAACTCAAAAATTAAGTGAATTCAATTAAATGATTCAGGTTTGAGGGTGGAGACTGGGCTGTTAATTGAATGCATTGGTTTGTTAATTGAATGCAATTAAGTGATTCAGACTTGATAAATTTGTTTGATTTAATATATATTAAACATGTTATTTTTATAACTATTTTAATTTTTTAGTCTATTTATCATCATTAATAATAATTTTTTATTTTTTTATTATATCACCGGTTCGACCAGTGACCCAGTGATTAAACTAGAAATTCATTCATCCGGTCCCTTCTTCGGATTAATGTCCGGGCCAAATTTTAAAACAATGATTAGAACAGTGGTTAGTGCTTGAGGCTGATATGACCGGCTTTTCTCTTGTTTGACCAAATGAACAGTCCGACAACAAATTCCAATTAATAACACGATCTATATACAATACGACCCGCCGCCAACCCCATACCTAACAAAAACTAATAAAACCACGCCAGTCCAAAAAGATTAGCCTTCCACCACGTCGACCTCTGTTTTTGACGTCGGAACTTCTGATCCACTTCACCTCTCTCTCTCTCTCTCTCTCTCTCCAGATTTATTACTCATATCTTTATTCTTCGTTTCTCACTCTTAAGGGACTCTCTCTCTCCTATTGAGCAAATG